GATGCATACTGGCCATCAGCATTTGATACTCTTGGATCAGTTGCCTGAGCGCTAGGATTACAGATGCATAATACTACACCGGGATAATCAAGGTTATTTTAAGGGAAATAAAAATAACAGAATTATCATTTGATAAATTTTACAAAGTGGATAAATACTCAGAAATGTACAAAATTACAAATATGAAAATAGAACAGGTAGATGATGGGGAAAGAAATAAATCAGCAAGTAACAAGTGGCAATAAAAAAGCTTTCGTTATAAATGCATCTCCCAGTGGATTTTCAAGTGATTCACTAAAACTTCAGACACTGATCAAGACTCCATCTGTGTATGTACCAATTCCCCAGGATGGATACATTTATTATGTATAGCAAACATAGACAAATATGAACACTATCATAAAAATTATACACTCAGCTGGGCATGGTCTGAAATATAGTATTTGAAATCAAAAACGGGGTAAGAAATCTCTGCAGCTTATATGACCAGGTTGATGCAATCTTTACCTAAATCCAGACAACATGTTTATAACAAAAATTAAACAGAGGCTCATTACACATGGGCATGCAGATTTTCAAAGCCAGGGTAGAACATTACCCAGCAAAATACAAGTGCATACTGGAAAAAGTTTCTCATATTTGCATGTATGTGAGTGATAGCATGGTTCTCTGGCCTGCATAATGCTCTAGGTTCAGTCTAAGTATCACACACAGAAAAATGTGACTGCATGATAATTAAATTTTGCTTGTTCATTTGTTCATTTTATCAAAGCACAGTTAAGCATCATAGATCTATGGTGAAACTTACAACAAAAAATGACAAAGAATGTACTGACCTGATTATTTGAATCTTGACATAAGTATTTTCTAAAACTCAATTTTTATTAATTATTTCTTAAAGACTTTTAATGAGAAAAACATCATATGATTTATAACATGATAATGCATACATATTATAAAACTAGGACATTACAATGAATGGAGACAGAGCAAATAAATTATTTCAAAATCAGAAGTAAGTCAGGGATATTCACTGTATTCACTGTTTTGTCATCTAAAAGAAAAACTTAAGTGTGGTGTTAAAAAGCAAGACAGACAAAAAGTAACATGAAGATTAAAATGAAAGTGATAAAATTTCACTGATAAAAGTTCACTGCATGAATGATAAGAAATCAAGCTGTAAAAACTGAGAAAATGATAAGGACACACATGTTGTTAAAGACTCAAATAACTGGAAAAAAAGAGAGTGTTCCTCATAGCTTTATTACTCATTAAAACTATGACAATAGAATAAAACTACATTATACCCAACCAAAATAGAAATTATAAATAGCTCTCAAGCATTTTTATCTCAAGGTCAGCACATACAAAACCTAGAGAAAAATTTAAATGTTTATAAAAAGTATTTTGCAAAGGAAATGGAAAAATGAATGCCTAATACTGGAGTCATAAAACAGAGAAAAATGAAAAGAAGTAATTAAATTTCATTATGAATCCATGACACTTGTCAAATGAGAAAAAGTCCAGTGTTGATGGTGACAAGGAGCAGAAATGACAGCCTCGCAGTGGGGGCAGTGTGGATGGTGTCTAATAAGATTTTAAATGGTACACTCTGTGTGCCAGCAAAGAGGCTCCCGAGCATTACTGGCATTTTCTCAAATCTTGCTTCCAGGGAAGCAAGCAGGAGAATGTTCTTTGTGGCATTTATAACAGTGACAGCGCTAGAAAAGCCTGCTCTCCCATAACCATGAAAGGCAAGTAAAATGCAATGGAGACAAACAGTGGAGCCTCTGCCAGGAATTACACCTACGTATAGCAGTACAAATAACTCTAGAAAATAATATTGAAAGAATTAAGTAAAATACAGAACAATCTAACACACTCCCATTTGGGCACTAAAATATACGTACATGAGGCTGCAGTGTAGCTCAGTTGTAGAGCACATGTACAGTGTTCATCAGTATCTAGGGTCTATGGCCAGCGTAAAAGCCACGGGGTACAATCTAGTAGGGATAAGAAGTAGCACAATGTGGAAAGAAAATACACCTGTAATGGGTTTTTTTTAAGGATGGCAGTAGTCCAGGATTTCCTTCTAGTAAGGTTTGTGCTATTTGTTTTTTTTTTGGTTTTTCTCCAGTACTGGGAACCGAACTCACGACCTTGCACTTGCCAGGCAGGCGCTTTGCCGCTGAGCTAAACCCCCAGCCCCGGTTTGTGCTATTTGTCATGTGATGTTGTTCAACATCCTTGACCACCACTCCCAAGATTCTACTAAATCTTTCTCATGACCTATATCATGATTACAAGAAAAAAATTGAGACACATTCACATGTTTCCTCATGTGCAGAATTATCATTGCCTGGAAAAAAACTAACTTAGCAGATGCAGTGGACACACAAGCTCCTGAATGACAGGGTAGAAGAATGGGCAAAGACCCCAAGAGCTGCCATATTTCTATCTCTGTACCCCCAAACCCAAGCTCAGTGAGTTTCTCCAAAGTGCTCTCTGTCCTTGCACACACTCTCCTGTCCTCACTACCTGCACTACATTTCAGATGTGACTAGTGTGAAAATCCAGAACAGCTTCCACTGCTTCACACTATGATGACACCTCAGGGAGAAACAGGCAGACTAAAAGGTGCTTTGAACTGAAGCTCTGTGCTTTATCTCAGCTGTGTCATAGGCCATTCCCATGGGCATCCCCCAGACACCAACATGGAAGGTGTGTCCTCAGAGTGTGAGCAAGTCAAGAGAATTTAGGGGAATTTCAGGAATTATAGTATCTTTTGACTCATGGAATATATAACAAAGGTTTACAGTCATCTTTTTTCCCAGAGAGACATAAATCACCACAAAGGGGAAAGAGCCTTGGAAGTAATAGTACTGGACAGACATGTCTTCAGCCCATTCATGTTACAGAAATAGAAGTGGGATTACATGAGCAGGCAAACCGGCAAGGCAGATATTTACCCAAGGTTAAAACAGAAAGGTTTCCAAAATCAGCATAAATTAGAACTAAAATAGGACTGTTTTATCTTCACAGGCACATGTTTGGTGGTTTGTGTTCAAACTGCTCAGGCCCATGTTTGATCACTGAAAATTTCTACCCTATCCTCCTGTTAGGGTGATGCAAGCTAAACAGTATGATCAGAGTGGGGCATCTCATAATCATAATCATCATCATCACCATCATCATCATCATCAAAACAACTCAAAGCAGGGGCTGGGGATTTAGCTCAGTGGCAAAGTGCCTGCCTGGCAAGCGCAAGGTCGTGAGTTCGGTTCCCGGTACTGGAGAAAAACCAAAAAAAAAAAAAAAAAAAACAACTCAAAGCAAAGAAAAAACCCCCAAATCCACAGTAGTGTTTCCTTTTCCAAATACTAATATTATTCTCCTGATTCAGTTCCTTTGGAGAACCTGATTAATACAGACCTCAAAACAATAAACAATATGATGAGTATCAGAAGACTTTAAGAAGATTTGAAGGTATGACTCTAGAGACAATTCTTGAGTTACAAAGAAGATCATGATCAACTTAAAGGACACTGAATATAAAATGCATTGAAAATTCACAGAGTATACCTAATCAAGCAAACATTACTTCTACACTTTGGATCTTTTAAACCTGCTCAATATGCTTGCTTGATGTGTTTGGGGAAACATATGTAACACAGCACAAATTTGATAATAAAATACTAAATATTTCTTTGACTTCACTGAATATAGTTCACTGTAAATCACCGGTTGTTCACCATCAGTGTCCTGTTGCTCACAGAGCAGTTATTCATGATTGTTGTCCACCATCACGAGCAAGTATTGTACCTTGTATCATTAATGCGCAAAAAGAATAAAATGGAAAACTAAAGTAAGATTTCCACTGAATAATATTTCTTTATTTTTCATAGATTTTTAACAGACCGAGAGGATGTTAAACAAGGTACCATTCAATGGAGATAAATCCCAGAATTTACATTTCATATTGACAGAGGGTCTTACTCAATTGTCTAGGCAGGTATTGTAACACTTCCTGTCTTAGTTGCCCAAGTGGCTGAGAGTAAAGGTGTGCGCTACTATCCTCACTGATGTTTACTTTGCCCAAGCATTGAAATCTTGGTAAATCGTGGCATATAAAAAATCTCAACTTTAAACTGGCATAGTGGCACATGCATATCATGCCAACAGCCACTGAGGTACAAATACTATCAAAAATTCACACTACCCAGGGAAACTCAGTAAGAGCTGATTTCAAAAATTTTTTAAAAAATAAGAGAGCAAAATTCCAGAGTTCAGTCCTTGTTTAAAAAAAAAAAAAAAATCAAGAATTCTGGGCATGGTGGCACACTCCTGAAATTCCAGCACTCAGCAGGCTGAAGCAGGAGGATCATCATGAATTTGAGGCCAGCCTGGACTACATAAGTGAGTTTAAGGCTCGTCTGCACTACATGGTGAGACCCTATATCAAAATAAATAAATAAATAAATAAATAAATAAATAAAAGAAATCATTGAACACATCTGGAAATCTTTTATATACTGGGAATATCCCTTTCATTCTAGTTCTGTGATGGTGCCCGCATTATTTTTAAACCTATACCAAGGCCAGAGAGTTTCTTAATTTCAGATTTTGCTTCAGAAATGATTAGGTGAACTCATCAGTGGAAGCAGAAGATATATTTATCTATTATTAAATTCCCTTCCTTTCTTCAAGCCTGGGACCTCTGGCCAACTCACAGGGCAAGCAACACAAAATTCTTCCTTGGTGCTTACCCTAAGAACAATTTGAGTTTCAGAGAAGATCTTCTATGTTGAAGGCACTACTACCGGCACCCTTCAACATCTCTTTCTCTCCCACCTGTTTTTTTTTTTTTTTTTGGTACCGGGAATCGAACTTGGGACCTTGCGCTTGCCAGGCAGGCGCTTGTGCTGCTGAGCTATATCCTCGGCCTCTCTCCCACCTCCCACCTCTTTTCCAGTCTCCTTTCATCCACCCTAAACAAAAACCCTTTATGCCTCACCACTGATATGCTGTACAGCTTCTATTTTGGGCCTCACCTCTACTCCAGTAGTCCTTTGAAAGTCTACCTCAAGCAGTATTTTTGTATTTAAACAATATTTACAAACAGGCCAAGATCTATAGATAGCCATTCATACAATTCATACAGAACTGACACCCTCTCCCTTTCCATTCATACACATATACATGCCCATGCAAATGCCCAAATTCAAGGTATCTCTCAACGTGGGTTTTTTGTTTTTGTTTTCCCCGGTACTGGGAATTGAACTCATGACCTTCCGCTTGCCAGGAAGGCGCTGTGCCGCTGAGCTAAATCCCCAGCCCCACAACGTGGGGTTAATAGGCAGACCCTTCTGGAAGTTGTTTTTGGCAGGTACAATTTCCCCCGCCCTTGCTAAGACTTTAACATTCCCTTCATTTTTCTCAGCATTCTAAACTCTGTGGCAGGCCTCACTTAAATTTCTTTTGTATTGCTCTGTATTGAACTCAGGAGTTGACTGGGTGTTTGGCAAGTGCTCCACCACTGAGGCACATCACTACACTTCTTTGAATTCTCAGGACCTTTTTAAACCTAACATGAGTTGGGAAATATAGGGACTATATTGGAAATTTAGGAGATTATAAATATTAAAAAGCAGAAATTTGAAGAGAGGAGTTGTGGGTATGAGACCCGGCATTACAGATATTTATAAACTTCAGATCCTCCAGATGTGCTGCTGACAAGAATGAAACCAGGAACCTAGCTCACCACTTCTGCACCCAGCTCTAACCCACATCTGAGTCTGGATCTTCCCAAGGCCCCTGCTCCTCCCAGAATGGTGGAGATGCAAAGGCAGCAGTGGGTTTCTCAAGATGGCACTGTAGCCTGGCGGTGTCACAGTGAGGAAAAAGTTCTGAGGACTCAGAACTGGCCTTGGCCTAGCAAAGGGCAAAAGGAACAGAGAATGACTCACTGCGCATCCAGGATGACATCAGGATCTGGAGCTAACAGGGGGACTCCAGGCACCATAACTAGTTCTGACCGATTCTAACCGGACATCACCCAGATTCCACCCCAGTTCAGGGCTCCCGTCCCACAACGTCACCATTGCATAGCTTGAGGGTCTCCTAGGGTCTTTCCTATGCAGCCCGTAGCCACTAGAAGTCACAGAAGGCGGTCTATCCAGCTGGGTTGCTCTCCGCAGCGTGCTCAGGCAAACACTTTGGCGCCATAACACCGGAAGAACCCTCCCACTTTGCCTCCTCTGATTGGACAGTTTATACAGCTTTGCTCCTTCTTCATTGATTGATTCCTACTCTATTACCCTCCCTCCAACGCATGACAAGAGAAACAAACCTATACGTGAAAGAGTGCAGTCCAAGAGAAAGACTGTAATGCGGAGACTTTTGGACCAAGCTGTCTTGTAAAATGTTAGTCTCTTGTCGCCTGAGGAATACTTGCATTTAAGGACTTTACCCCTAGGTTTCTTATAGGACTCAGTGGACTTTTTCTAAAAATGGTTCACTAATGTGTTGTGAAGTTTCCAGGGTCAATATTCTAGAGAAGAATCAATCTCCTTATGTCAGAAAATAACCTGAGCACAGGCCAGGCCAGGACACAATGGAATAGGAGAACTGGGTGTTTGAACGGACAATATTTGGGAGTGAGGCTGCAGGATTCGTTTTGAGGGTTTTCACACTATCTCTTTCCATCTATTAATTTTCACTTCAGAAAATTAATATCTGCCCTTTAAAAGGAACAAAAGAAATTGGGTTAAATAATAGCAATATTGTGCAAAAGGGTAAAGATGAAAGAAAAACAAACATTTCAACTCTTCCACACAAGTTTGTTACCCATCCAGGGTCGGAAAAAAAGCCTGATTTCTGAAAGTAAGCATATTGCCAAGCGTGAGGGTCAGAATGATTGCTCAAATGGAGCCCCGGTGCTCACTCACTGAACCATTTCCTTGTGATGAGGCAGGGAAACATAAAGACTTCAGACTGTAAGCTTCTCATGCCCTGTAGTTCCCTCCTTAAAAATTGAAATTTTGCTTCTTTCAGGACATTAATATTCCTAGAAGGAATATATTGCCTGAAGCCATGTGATTTTTTTAAACAACTTGTTTAGCTTGAGAGATGTATAGGGTATTAGAACAGCACACTTCTAGATATATCTGGTGGAATTGTGTGAGTTTGATCTGACTAAATAAATCTCGTCCCTGGATCTTTTCTTTTCAGCTCTGTCCATGCTCTGGATCCTGGATCCCATAAAGTAGTTACCTATTTTGTCTTTATTTATATTTGCCAAGATGTTTCTGCATTGGAAATAGTCAAAACCAAACTGCAGTCTGAAACAATGAGACAAAATGAACCTATTTTTCTTAAATTCTGTATCTCAGGTATTTTGCCCCTATAACTAACTAACTAACTAAATATATAAAAATCTAATAAAATTCAGTTAGGTGTCTGTCCTAAATAAACTTCCAAATGCGTCAATTGCTCTGATCACCTACATGAGTGATGACGCCTTCTAATATATCATAGATATATTATAAGAAGGATATGCTTAGTTGACAACTGGTGGTCAGCTTATAATACCCAGCTGAACTGAACCAGCATGGCACTGGGTGAGGAGGGCCCACCTAAGGATTGTTGCCAAAAAAATAAAAAGGAGAGGTGGAAAAGAAGAAGAGGAGCTATTAGGGAGCTGGTGGTTCTCCTAGGCTGTTGGTTCTCCTGAGGGGCTTGTCATGCTGGCTTTCCTGATGAACTTGGCTGTTATCATCAAAGGAACTTAGGACCTTGTTGCTAAGAAGGGCTATGGTTCACTTTGGAGAGCTCTGGTCCGTAGTTTGAATATCACTTCCTGGCTCTAGAGGGGAAGATTGTGCACTGTTCAGTGCCCTATAGAAGCTTGTTGTGCTAGCTTTCCTTATATATAATCAGCTGTTCTCATCATCAGAGGAGCTCGGGCCCTGATTGTCACTGAGGATGGCTGTGATACTTTTTGGGGGAGCTCTGGTCTTTGAGTGTCGCTTCCTGGTTCTAGTGCAAGAAACGTCAGCCTACTAGCACAGATCCTTCATCCCAGTGGCACAGACTTTCAAGTTTCCACCACTGACCTTCAGGCCTTCCCAGTGCAGATCTGTGAAAGAGACTTACATGAGACATCGTGGTGGGTTCTAGGCCTCCAGTTGGACTTGTAGGAGGCATTGTCATTGGCCCTAAGTTTTCAGCTTGACTCATGCAGGACATTGCAGTGGGATCTAGGCCCTCAGCTGGATTCTTTGGGTCTTTAGTGTGTGGACAGATTTCCTGCACTCTCTTTGTATATGACTCTTTGGATGGCTATTATAAAATAATCCTATAATTATGTGTCCTATATTAAATTGTATTTCCTTCCAAACCCCTGACTGCAACAAAGGAGGTCACTGTGGGTGTGCTCTTGCACAATAGGTATCATTCTTAACTCTGCCTTTGTTATTGCTTCCTGCTTGTCATGAGGTGACCAGCTTTCCTCTAGTACACGATTCTGTAATTCTAATTTTAGGTAACTCAATTTTAATTCAACTCAAATATTTTAAATTATTTCTATCTTTCCTTTTTTTTCTTTTTTCCTTTTGGTTTTTTGAGATGGTCTCACACACTACTTTGTAGACTTCTACACAATAACAAGAAGTAGAAGAAAAATTTGTAAAACATTCTAAGTGTAAGATAATATGTGTAAATAGAATTGTAGAAGATGATCTAATACAGAGAATAATTATCCTTGGATGTGATGATATGATGTGATATAATTCTTCAAATTATTTCTTTAATATAATTGTATTTATAATACCATTGAATCCATTGAAAATTGGACAAAAAAATCTAAGTTCCCTGTGATAAACAGAGGATAGTACTGTATTACACAAATCTTGAATAAAAGAAGTAAAGAAAGGATACAAGGCAAGGCCAAAAAACTACCACACCCTGGACTATGTGAGGACATTTCATTCAAGGTGTCAGTCTATACTCCCAGGCTACACTTTGCATTTGGTAGATCTCCACTTTAGAGATCTCCCTGCGATACTTATATCCCACAAACTGTAATTTCACACTGACCCTTCAACCCCCTGTGGTGGACTGACAACTGGTGGGCCACTTGTAACACCCAGCTGAACTTAATAAGTGTGGTGCTGGGTATGGGAGACCCGCCTGAGGATTGTTGCCAGCAGAATAAGAGGCAGAACTGGAGAAGAAAAAGTGAAAGGCTGTTGGGAGATGGTAGAAACGGTAAGGAGCTGTTGGTTCTCTTGGAGGAGCTTGTCATATTGGCTTTTCCTGATGAACTCAGCTATTCTCATCTTCCGAGGAGCTCGGGACCTTGTTGTCAGTGACAGTGGCTTTGGTTCACTTTTGGGGTGCTCTAGTCCTCACTTTGAGCATTGCTTCCTGGCTCCATAACAGTTGTGGTCTGGCAAGGACGAGGCAAAGACTTTAGTCTTCTTCTGCAGATACACAATCATTTTTGCTGAGTATTCCCAGTGTTTTTTGGCTCCGTGGCACTTCTGCCTACATCTGCCTCCCTAACTGGACAAGGGCTTGTACCCTGGTTAATCTGACGTAAGATGGATATTGGATCAAGCAGACCAAGAACTCCCAGTCCCTATTCTAATATCAGCCTGACATTGTTTGGGCCTCTGTGTACATCCTCTTGTTAGTGGGGATAGGCATAACTACTAAGACAGGGACAGGGCTTGCTGGACCTACCACTGCCATTGATTCTTACAAATCCCTGTCCCAAGAACTCTCTCAAGCTTAACTGATATTTCTAAGTCCCTTCTCATCTTACAAAGTGAGTTAGACTCCCTGACAGCTATAGCTCTCAGGAACCAAAGAAAGCTAGACGTTCTGACAGCAGAATTGTGGGTCTATGTCTATTCCTAAAAGAAGAGTGCTACTTCTACACAAACCAGTCAGGAATAGTCTGGCGAGCTACAGAGAGCCTACAAAAGTAAGCCAATACATTAAGAGAACAAGCT